ATACACCAAAATTGAGCATTTCATTCACCAATGGCTTCCCAGCGGAATATCCTATCAAAAATTTACAAAAACTCAAAGTACCAAATTTATAACCAACAGTTTTAAATGGCATTTTTCTTTAAATTTTTATAATTTTCCTGGAGTTTATACATTTGATTGTTTATTGCTTGTCAGAGGCTGTTGAGTCCATTTGGGGGAAAGTTCCCCACTTTTCCGTTCTTTTGGTGTATCATTTTTTTTGTCTTGGAGGTGGCTGTGTGTCCCCGGCTGCAATCTTTCCTTCTTGGCCCTCGTTCTGGCGTTTGCGGGGAGGTAGGGAGGGCCAGTGAGGACGCTAGGCCTCTGCACGGGGTTAGGTGCCTGCCCCAAAAGCAGGATTACCAACACCACCCGCCCATTGGGCAGCGGCCCGCCGTCCCCCTCCCCTCCACTCCCCTAGTCTGGAGATCGGCAAGTCGCGCTGACCTGTCGGTCTGCCTTCTTTGCCTGCCAGTACATTTGGAGATATTGAGAGCGGGAGGGCGGAAGAGGAAGCAGACCAGCCCCCCGCTCGCGTACCAGCCGCGCGGCCACTGAGGTGGCAGGGTCGCATGCAGGTGATGTACTGGCCAGATCTCGGGTTGGGTGGTGGGTGATGCATTCATGCATTATCTCGAGGTAACCTGGCCAAGCTGGGCCGGTCGATATTGTTTACGTTTGATATACCGGCCGAGCGAGCGGGAGGCAGCCAGGCAACGTCGGCTGGATCCAGCGAGAAAAAAACACGCCACAGCGCGCTACACTCTTTACAGCCTGCCCATGTCTTGGTTCGATGACGGCAAATGGCACTCTTGTGGGAGCAGTATTTTACCGTGCCCGTCCATCGGTTTCTGGAGAAGGTCACTCACCCTCTTTGTGTCGCTTGTCGAACCTCACCGTGGCTTCAGATCCGACGGCCGTCGGCAGTCCAGTGAGTGAGGGCATTCGGTTACAAGGCAAAGGTGATATAAAAAAAGAATAAAAAGAGAAAAAAGCCAAGAAGGGATAAAGGAAGAGTAAGGGTGGGAAAAGAACAGAGACAAGAAGCGGCAACCGGAAACTTCCCCATCTTCCCCATTCCAAGCCCTATCCAGATCCTCCCGAATCAAGCCTTTTCCCCTATTCCCACCCAATAAACTCCCCCAACACCCACCCACATACCTCGAGGCCACCCCCACCCGCAGTCCCAAGCTATGTCGGTCCGGAACGCGACCGAGCGCGACATCCCCGACCTGAGGAGCATCCTCCTCACCGGGCTCCTGTCGGACCACGTGTGGAAGTACTGCTTCCCGCTCGGCCAGGGCGGCGCCGTGCAGCTCGTCGACGACGCCCTCCGGCTCTGGCTCGACGGCAAGGCCGACGATAAAAACCAGTGGCTCGTCACCGTCTCGGACGACCTGGAAACGGAGAAGCCCGTCTCCATGGCTGTGTAGGTGATATGATGTTGTTCAGGTGTTTTGTTTGTGTTATTGGTTTATCTGACTATAAGAATCTAGCTGGAGCCTGCCCGGGTCCCTCGAGGACACCGAGAGCGGGGACGGGGGAGACTTTGTCGCCTTCCAAAGCAGTAAGTCTCTCGACCTCGGTGTCCCAACCGCACATCAGCCTACCAGTTGACTAACAAGGACAACAAAACAAAAAAAACAGGCCTCAGCCACGCCGCCGACACGGCCCGCCTGACGACGGCAGACGAGACTGCGGCCAACACGCCAACCCCGACCAAGCACGAGGTCTCGTCGGCGGCGCGCCTGGCCGCCGTGGCCGAGGCGGTGCAGGTCACGACGCGGGGCGGGTCGGGCCCGCTCCTGTCGCGGTACGGCCCGCAGGTGGTGCTGGTGCTGACGGCGACGCACCCGTCGCATCGGTTCCGGGGCCACGCGCGGCGGCTGGCGGCGCACGGCCTGGCGCTGGCGTCGCGCCGCCGCGCCGCCGTCAGCGCCCTGGCCGGCCCCATGGGGTACATCTTCCTCTCGGGCCTGCGCTTCTCCGACTGCGGCCTCGCCACCGTCGCCGTCCCCGGCGAGCGCGACGAGCTCGACCTCAAGGTCATGGTCCAGCCCGCCCCGCCCGGCCGCAGGAGCCTGTCGCGGCAGCTGATGGGACTGTTCGGCGCCGGAGCCGGCGAGAGCGGGAGCGAGAGGGGTAGCCCTGCGCCGCCTGTTGGTGAGAGGAGGCCATCGGCGTGGGAGGAGAGGAAGCGGAGCGGCGTCAACGCGAGGAAGATGTCGGCGGTTTGAGGGGATGGGGTCGTGCTCCCAGTGAGGGTTGGACGGGAGTTTTGGCGTTGGGTGCTGAGTTTTTTCGAGGCTAGATGACCTGGGTTGTGATGCTTGTTGATGTCAACTTTACTTGGGTTCTCTATTAAAAGAGCTGCTGAGACCTTAAGAGATTCCATAACTCTTTCATACCAATAGAGCCTACTTGTCACAACGGGCAACACATAGCTCTTCAAATCTATGTCTAGTCCATCCGTGATTGGTTGTGACAGCCCAGACAGCGACCAACGGCAAAGGGTCCCAGAATCCCAGGTGACTATCTCCAAGGCCTGCTCTAAAAATACCCACGACGAGCACATGAGCTTGAACTGATCAATCCCATGCAGGAAGTGACGGGTCTCGTGTGTGCTTTTTGCTGGCCTTCCCCAGAATTTCCCTTTGTAGAAGCCAAGTGGTGGGCGGATGGCACGCAGGGGGTTGCATCCCTCGATAGCCTGGGTAGCACCTTCTGCCTGCGAAAGATGGGCTCTTCATTTAAACACGCATATTCTGTCCGCAAACGTGCTCCAGTCATGCAATGACGTAAGACGAATTGGCCCAGGAGACGGCACCAATTGGCTGGTCGTCGGAGAATTCGACCCTCCAACGGGTTGAAGCCACAAGCGCTGAGCCCTCTCGTCGGGACGGCCTTAAGGGCTGACCGCGTGTGTTGCTGCCCAGCCCAAACCTCACCGACATGTCCTACGCTGGAAATTAATTGCCTTAGGCCCTATGTGCTCACGCCGGTGACTGGTCGGCACGAGAGGCCCAAGGCAGCCATCACTTCCTCCTACTGAGATGTCATTCTCGCAACCGGGCTACTGTCATGGTTAATATGCGATGCCTAGGCGAGCCTGCTTCGCTAGTTAGTCTGACCCGACTACCGTCCTTCTTGCAATATCCGCGCCGTGCCGCGCAGCTGGGAACGGCACGGGGACACGACCAAAGATTGCCTACCGTCTCTCAGGCCTGGCTATAAGCTTGAGGGTCTGCCTTCTCCAAAACGGGATACAAAGGGATCTGGCGCATCCGTCACCGAGGTCATTGCCTCGCTCCGCACGCAGCCGCTGGTCATTGGTCACGATCGCCACTAGCCCCAGCGCCCGTGGTTGCAATATTGCTTGTCGTTGTGCCGCTCTGCAGACAATAGTACGGCCCGACCGACTGCTTGACTCCCCCCTCTACGCGCCTTGGCTGGTCATGCTGACTAGCGCCTCAGCCTGGGGATCGAGCCACCTCCCTATTCCGGACGGCCACAAGACCGCGCGCTGCTGCCGTGAGGCATCAGACACGCGGATCAAGCAGCCACCATGATGGCTCCAAGGTAAGGAATGGAGCGCGAGGGCATGCAACGAGGAGTTGAGGCGCGCCGGAGAGTCGGGACGCTGATATAAATTATATTAAACCCGCAGGTCCTCGTTCTCTGGGCGGGCCTCGTCCCGGGACCCCAAGCCAAAACCATCTGCATCTGGCCCGCCACTCCGTGGGACTGCTGCTAGTAATAACATTGTCAAACCGCTCCCGGAACCCGCATCAACCACTGTTATCATCATGGTATCAGCGCTGCTACTTGCCCTTGGGCTGCTAGCCACTCGTCATGTCAACGGGGTCCCAGCACCGCGGCCCGAGGGCCTGCAGGGGGATGCCGCTGCGGCGGCGGTATCCTGCACCAGCCAGGGAATCGCCCCTATACTCAGCTCCTTCCCCCAGGCGGGCATCACCCTGACGCTGGAGCGGGCCTCGGCCGTCGGCGCGGGGGGCAGCTTCGGCGAGGGCGCGGGCAACCTGGGCGTGCCCTACCCGGCCACACGCCTGCCCGCCGTGTGTGCCGTTATCGTGCGCGTGCGCAACGCCACGGACCAGCCGGCGTCGGACTTCCGCTTCGGCCTCCTCCTTCCCACGGCCTCGGGCGCCTGGAACGGCCGGTTCCTCGCCATCGGAAACGGCGGGTTCCTGGGCGGCATTAACTGGCCGTTCATGGCGTCGGGCCCTCACTACGGCTTCGCCACCATGTCAACCGACACGGGTCACAACTCGGCCGGCTTCGATCTTAGCTGGGGCCGCGGCAGACCGGCTGACCTGTACGAGTGGGGCTACCGCGCCATGCGCGGGTCCGTGGCCGCGGCCAAGCACGTTACCCAGGGCTTCTATGGCTCGAGCCCGCGCCGCTCCTACTTTACTGGCTGCTCCACCGGCGGCCGCCAAGGGCTCAAGGCGATCCAGGGCGAGCCAGACAGCTTCGACGGCGCCCTGATCGGGGCGCCCGCTTGGGACACCAAGCACCTGATGCCGTGGGCCACCAAAGTCGGCAAGGACAACCTGCGGTCCGACGGCTCCCTCATCTTGGACCCGACCGATACTTCGGTGGGCGGGCCGCTGGACACGCTGCGGCGACAGGTGAGCCTCCAGTGTGACGGCCGCGACGGCGTGACCGACAACATCGTCAGCAGCCCGGAGCTGTGCGTGCTCAACTACACCACCTTCACCTGCCGGCCGGGCCAGGTCACGGCCTGCCTGACGGGCGAGCAGGTGAAGCTCGTGCAGACTTTCTACTCGGACTACTCGCTGGCTGACGGCTCCCTCGTCCACAACGGCATGGAGCTCTCGTCCGAGACGGAGCTCAACAACTGGGCCTCGTACCTGAGCAGCCCAGCCGTCGCCAACGTGCAGTACGAGCGCAATTTCCTCTACAACGACACCACCTGGAGCCTGAGCCAGTACTCGGAGGACGTGGTGCGCGACTCGCGCCGCGTCAACCCGGGCCAAGCCAGCGCCGACTCGTTCGACCTGCGCCCGTTCCGTGCCCGTGGCGCCAAGGTGATACTGTACCATGGTATGGGTGACGGGCTCGTGCCGACGAGGTCCACGACGCACTATTACAACCGCACGCGCGAGGTCACGGGCGGCGGAAAGGGGCTCGACGACTTTCTCCGCTACTTCCTCGTCCCGGGCATGGGCCACTGCTGGTTTAGCCCGGCGGCCACGAACGCGCCGTGGATGTTTGGCGGCGTCGGCCAGGCCGCGGCGCTGGCGGCCGTCGCGGGCGCCCCGGCCGAGTTCACGCGGCCCTCGCCCCCGGGCACGCCGCTGTTCCGGTCCGACCCGGACTACGACGCGCTGCGCCGCCTGGTGGCCTGGGTCGAGGACGGCGCCGCCCCGGAGGTGCTCAAGGCCGCCGCCTACACGGCCGGGTGGCGTGTCGCGAGGACCAGGAAGCTGTGCCCGTACCCGCGCAAGGCGGTGCTGGTGGACGCGGCCAGGGAGGACGACGAGGCTGGTTGGGTGTGTCAGTGATTTGGGGGGGTTGGGAGGGACATGATATGTAGGAGGAACAGGGGTTCGATTAGCAGCAGGTTGTAGCATATATGATGCATCATATCTCTTTTTTCCATGTCGTATCTTATTCCCTCGGCATCATACAATTCCCGAATATATACATCACGGATCGATCCAGTTTGCCCCGTTCCAGTTGACGGCCTCGCCGCGGCACGGCACGCAGCCGACGCGGTAGTCGCCCGCCGCGCACGGCTCGTTGAGCTGCATGAACTCGTTGCCGCCGCCGTCGCCCCAGCAGGCCCTCCCCATGCGCAGCTCCGGGAACACGTACTCGTGCCGCTCGAGCCGGTAGCACCACAGGTTCCCGTCGTCTGCCGCGCGCACGTCGCACTGCCGCTGACACGCCGTCCGGAGGCCCCTGGCCCTACAGCGTGGGTCGTCGTCGTCCTCTTTTCCCTCCATTTCCTTGTTCCTCCCTTGGCACCGCCCGCACGGCAGCGCCGCGGCCGCCGGCAGGTCAACAGCCGGGTCCGGCCGGTGCACCAGCCAGGCGCGCGTGAGGGTGTAGACGCGCACCGACGAGCCCGTTGAGCGCGCCGCGCCGCGCCGCGCCACGACCGACGTGAGCCGCCGCGTGTGCACCTCGGTCTCGAGCACGGTGGCGGGGAAGGCGGTGACGGGGCCCGGCTCGTAGGTCGTGACGGTCGACGCGTCGATGAGCGTGATCTCGCTGGGGCCGTCGTTCCAGGGGTACATGGTCGTCGCCGACGTCGACGTGCCCGTCTGGATGCGCGTCTTTGTTGTCGGGTAGGGGGCGGCGGGGGCGGGAGCGGGAGCTTCTCGGGCTGCTGCGGCGGTGGGCTTGGCCAAGCCTGGCATGGCCGAGACTGCTGCTGGGGCGCATGCGAGGAGTGCAAAGACGACCGCGGCCGCGACAGAGCCGGACGGGCCGGCCCGGCAGCGCGACGCCCAACTTGGCATGTCTGTCGGTTCGGCTTTTTACCAGCCCGGAGTTAGGGTGAGGTGGGTATAATGTTGACCAAGTTCCTCCGAATGGCGCGTTATCTCGAAACAAGCTTTCCAGCGGTAAAGATGATCGAGATATAAGAGACTTGGGCGGGCACAGTGGTCCAAGAGAGAGAGAGAGAGAGAAAGGACGAGCTCTCCGGACATATCCCGACGGCTCTCCTTGGGCATAATATCACAAAGCGGGCAGCGTCAGGCGCTGCTGGCCAGAAGGAGCATAGACGTCCGAGCCCACGGCACGGCCTCGCCTCCATTGGCCTGGCACCTGGCCATGGCTTGGTTCGTCCCGGCAAAAGTCGACGAGCACTCGGCCGAGGGTGGCCAGTTAATTAATCAAGGCAGAACGCCACGTGATTCTCTCGGTCAGGCGTTTGATCAATAGATTGAACACCGTCGCCATGAGTGGTTGGGGAAGAGCCCTTGTTGTGCGGTTGCTGACCATGCAGATCTTTGACCGTCGCTGACAGCACAGGTACTCGTCGGCGGGATGCTGGGGTCCGGGGAATCTGAGCCGAGATATGATGCCTGGGACGCTCATCCCATTGAGCTTAGGGACGCTCCGGCAACATTGAGGAACGCGCGAGGTCTGGACCTAGTGGTTTCTTGTTATCTTGGCTGCGCAACAATTTTGTATACATCTCGTACCAGGCGATGAGATGGCCAAACCCAACTTCTTGATAACAGTACAAACAGGGTGCCTTCCTTGTCTTTATAGCCCAGGTGATACCAGACCCCAGTGAAGTATAGAGAAAGTGCCAAATTCGCTCGGTAACATACATCTTCCGTTACCCCCCCACAGTCGGGAAGAGACCGCTTGTTCTAGTCGCGGTGCTTTAAATAGATTTTGGTGCAGGGTAGACAAACATATTGTCTTCAGTTGTTTATTACATAGTCCGCGCGTCACAGCTGCTCAATGCTGGAAATTAAGTGGTCCAGCTGATCCATATCGTCGCCGCCACGCCCATGGCAGACGTCGTTCAGGAGCCTCGCAGCGCCGCGAAGCCTCCTCATCTTGACCTCGTCCTCCATATGACGTGACTTGCGAGCCGCCACGTCGAGGATCTTGCGCGGGATGCGCGCGAGCCGCGCAACGTTGAGGCCGTATGAGCGGTGGGCGACGCCGTCTGTGACCTCGTATAGGAACGTGATCTCCTCGTCGACGTCGTCTTCGGCGTCCGCAGTATCGCCCCCGGCCTTCTCGGCCCTGGACGAGGTGAAGCGCATGTGGACGTTGCGGACGAGGTCGCGGCCCAGGCCTTCGGCGACGCGGGCGAGGCTCTGGTAGTGGGTGATGAAAAGAGTCAGGCAGCGCGTCTCGCGGACCACGTGGTCGAGGACGGCGTGGGCAATGGCGGCGCCGTCGTGGGTGCTGGTGCCACGGCCAAGCTCGTCGAGCAGGACGAGGGAACGGGGTGTTGCGGCGCGCAGAATGGCTGCCGTCTCGCCAACCTCAACCATGAATGTGGACTCGCCGGCGAAAAGATTGTCGCTGGCGCCCATGCGAGTGTAGATGGCGTCCGACAGGGTCAGGCTTGCGGCGGTGGCGGGCACATAGGAGCCGACCTGGGCGAGAAGGACAACCAGGGCCAGGGCGCGGACAAACGACGACTTGCCGCCCATGTTGGGCCCCGTGACGAGGTGGGCCAGCGGAGCTGGGGCGGCGAGCGTGGTGGTGAAAGGGATGTAGCCGCCCGGCAGCGTGTGCTCGGCGATGGGGTGGCGACCCTCGGTGATGCTGATGGTGGGCGGATGTGAAGACGGCAGGATGGTAGGCTTGCTGTAGCCAGGCAGCGCAGCCACCTGGGCCAGACAGAGAAGGCAGTCGAGCGTGGCCAGCGAGGCAACGGCGTCACGCAGCGGCTGGTACTCGTCGGCGATGGATGCCAGCATGGCCTTGAAGGCGGCGTCGCAGGCAGCGGCAAGCGCCTCTTTGTGCTGGTCGCGCTCGGCCACCAGGCGGACGACGTCGGGCGTGTGGAAGCGTGAGAGCTTCTTGGTGCCGCTGATCTTGGCCCAAGACGCCGGCACACGGCGCAAGTCCGTGTTGGGTACCTCGATGAGGTACTCGATGCCCGCCACCGTGACGTAGTCGACGGCCTTCTTGCGTCCCAGCGTCACCGCCGCGTCGGCTCGGTGCGCGTCTAGGTCCTGCTCGACTGATGCAATGCTCAGCTTGTGGTTGGAGATGTCATTGTCCTCGCCATCCTCGCCCGTGTCGTCGCGGAAGAAGTCGTATTTGTCATTGTTGCGCGCCGCCTCGGGATTGATGCGGTTAAGGTACTCCACGACGGTGTCGCGGATGGCCGGCAGCGAGCAGATAGCGTCAGTGACCAACTGCGACTCGAAGCCCGTCTCGCTAGGCTCCTTAACACGGGCGTACTCGACGGCGATCCGCTGCAGCGTCTGCAGCACGGCCAGGAGCTCGGACCGGGTGCATCGACCGTAATAGATACGGATCAGGCTCCGTTCCAGGTCTGTCTTGATGCTGGCCACTAGGCGCTGCAATTTGTCTGCGTGCGCAGTCGCGCGCTTCTCAAACAGCTCCTCAACCGCGGCCACCCGATCATCAAGGCGCCCCTTGTCGAGCAGGGGGCGACCGAGCCACTTTCGTAACATCCTCTGGCCGAAGCGGGTCTTTGTTTTATCCAGCGCCCAAAACAGGCTGCCCTTCTCGCTGTGATCGGTCTGGTTCCGATACACCTCCAGGCTCTCGAGGGTGGTGCCGTTGATCAGCATGTGTGACCTGGTGCTGAAGGACTGGAAGTACTTTGTCAGGTCAAAGATGTGTTCCAGCCCAAACTCGGTGAGGTGCGTAATCATGGCCGACAGGCACAGCGTGACGGGTTCGGGTAAACCCAGGACCTTGTTGAGCAGCTCCACCGCTCGCTCGTCGTGCGAGTTGCCCTTGAGTTTGCCGGCGTAGAACTGCGTGACGTGCGATGAGGCCTCTGCCGCCATGGTCTTGCCCTTGGCCACACGCTCGACGCGCGTCCTGTCGCCAAAGACGTTGCTGGCGCTCCCAGACAGGTGGCGTACCAGCTTCTCGGTAGCCCTGCTCAGGTCGCCAACAATAAGGAGCTCGCAGGGCGAGATGTGAAGCAGCCGCGTCTCCAGCTCGTTGCGCATAAAGCCGTCCTCGAAACTATCGTAGATGATGTCACCCGTGGCCGGCTGCACAGCGATCAGGCCCACGTCAACCTTTTCGTCGGTGCCCGCGCCCTTGGCTGCCGACTCGGTGATGCAGAGGAGATAGCCACCCGCGGGGGCGCCCGACCCCTCGGTCGTGGGGGCCGGCTCGCCCAGATCATCATCGATATATGTGCCTTTTGTGTAGACGTTTGTGAGCTTGCGCACGAACGGGGCGTTGCGGTTGTCGCCTGCCTTCTTGAGGGCGGCTGTCTCGACCTGGCGTACAACGCCGACCTTGTGACCGGCCGCCACCAGCCTCTTGGCATGCACAGGTAGACGGTGCACTGGGATGCTCGCCGAGGCGAAGCGGTCCAGGTGGGCCTCGGAGGAGTGCTCGTCATAGCGGAACTTGCCCGAGACGCAAACTATGCTGAGCTCTTTGGCGGCGATGCGGGCGTCCTCTCCAAAGAAGCGGAACTTGTAGCCGACCTCGACTATGAGCACCGTATCCATGTGCTTCCTCTTGATGTCGAGAAACTGCATCTCCATGGGCGTTAGCTTTCCCGTCTTGGCCCCCTTTTTCTTCCCTTTGGCCGGTGGTGGAGGCTCGTCCTCGTCAACGCCGCCGTCGCCGTCTTCGTCGTCGGGGCCAGCGGTGTCGGCTGCTTGTGCGCTTCTCCACCGGAGCATGCTGTCTGGGTGGCCCAGCTTTTTGACAAACTTCCGGTGAAGCTCCTGCTTGCGTCGTATGGTTGCCGCGTCCTCCTCTTTGTCCTCGTCGGCGCCGGCCTTTTCACGAGAGCTGGATCCATCGTAAAGATACCGCTCTGTCCTGCTCCCCGAATCCGATGACGTCTGTTTCGGCGGCCCCTCTGTCATCTCGGGAGCCGGCTTTGATGACGAGTAGGAGCTCCCATCGTCCTGGTCCTGGTGCTGGTCCCCGGCATCGTCCTCGAAGTCGCTATCGTCGAGGACAAGCCTAGACCGCTTGCGTCTGGGCTCTCGGCGGGTGTTGCCAGCGGTGGCATCTGGTTCGAGGGGTCGCTTGCGGGTGACCCGTTCGCTTGCAAGGGCCGCATCGGTTTTCTTGGGCTGGGGCGCGGCCTCGGACTCCGGTTTGGGCGGCTGTGTCTGCGGCTTGCGTAGGCCGTTGATAGTTTTAGGGGTGAAGAAGCTGGCGAGCGAAGCCTGCTTCTTGGTTGATGGTGGTCCCGCCATATTTACTGATCCCAGGCGGCAAGCACACCCACCTGCTCCCGAAAGGACTCCTGACAAGTAATTTGTGCAGAGGAAAGGCAAGATGGTGGGAATGAGGACCACCAAAGAGTGCTACAAGCCATTCGAGAATTCACTGGAATCGATGGCTTTCGTTACGTGGCTGGCCAAAATTGAACAGGAAGGCAGGACAGCTGAAGCTTCCAGGTCTCGTAATCAAATTACAATGGACGCGTCGCAGCCCAGACGACGCGCCCGCGTCCAGCGGTCCACCCGTGCGCACTCACGTGACCCGGCATATGGTTCCTCCTTTTTCTTCCCCAGAAACATCAGCCCAGGCCCGAGTCCAAAGCTCCTCCCCCGCACTCCCCCTCACACACACTTACAGTCTTACACCCATCATCCTTCCAGATGCGGCATTCCAATATCTACGCCCAACAAGGCATAATCTTCATGTCTCGCATTGAAGCACAAGATGGAGTGTGCTCCATGATTCTGCCTCGCCAACCCACCCACTCCTTGCAGACAACCTGAGGTGTCAAGTGCCCAACATCATGATCCTCTCACGTCGAACAGACTGTAAGACAGTTTTAACGACAAGAGAAATTCCGGCCTAGCGAGGACGGGCCCACGTGGCATCTCACCTTCCCGCAACCAGGCCGGCTTATAACGACGGCAGCAAGGTTAACAAGCGCACCTGTCAAGCAAGCATTCGGCCCGTTCGGACGATGCAGTCGTCTGGTTAAAATACAGGCAATAATGATGGTGTCTAATCCTTAGGTTGGGCTTTCTTGGGAGATGCGTTCCTCTGCGGGCTGGAACCTGGTGGCCGCCGTCGGACTGATACACCTGATACTTGCTGGACTACCATTCGTGTATGAAGCTATCAGCTCACCTTGGCTGTCTGTCAAACAGTCTGGTGGCGCTCCATCTTCCTGCCCTTGGGAACGTGACTCTCGAAAGAAGCAAAAAGGGCGTTGCGCCTATCCGTGTTTTATTATTTGCCAAAATGCAGAAAAGCACGTGTTGTCGTGACTGGGTGATGTGAAACGCGGAGCTTGTCACCCGAGTTTACACTAACCTCGGGCTGAAACAGAGCACGACAACGGCATCAAGTACTGTTTTCTCTCTCTTCATATCCGGCGAGACTGGAGTATCTGGGTGTTATATCCCTTTTTCTGTCTCGTCGGTACCCCCTGCTGCAGCCACTAGACGGGTGAGTTGCTGGTAATCACCAAGAGCGTTGGTGTCCTCGTGGTATTTGACTTCGAGACTTGCCTGTCATAGCAAATCAGTGGCTGTCTCACAATGTCCTGGTCGGAACAAAAGCTTGAGTCTGCCTCCAAATAAACCTCCGGGATCTCTCGCACCAAGCCGGCCGGGAGACAGAAGGATCAGGACTCTCACAACTGTGACGAGACCGAGTGTCTGCTCGCTACCAGAGCTGGGAGCCATAAATAGGTACACCCTTTTGAAATCCTCCCAGCCGATCACCACTCATGATGCGTGCATTAGAGCTTGGTCACCTTTAGTACTGCTTTGCCGGACCGCGAGCCGTCGTGGCAGTCTCGATCACGCCTTGCTGTCTGCCTGAGTCTGCTGTTGGGACAGTCTGCACCTTTTCCCCGCTGCATGTTAACCGCATCACCCTAATCTCGACCCACTGTCAACTTGTTCTAGCCGAGCACCGGCTGTGATCCTTCGCCGGCCGGGCGTTTTTGCCAATATCACCCGCCATTCGGACCGGTCGACCGGATCCTATCTTGGCATTCCTTCCCCAACGACCTCTTGAAGGGGGTGCTTCCAGACACCTCTATACGCGGCTATATATACTCAACAAAGCGCGGGGTATTTCCTGTGTCTTCCCTAGGTGTCTCTCTTTCTAGGAAAACCTCATCACCCACATACACCTCTACCTACCTAAGCCTGCCCGCGCTTCTCGCCCTTGAATAAAATCAGTAGCCATGGCGGGCTTCCTCGGCCGAAAGCCCAAGACGGAGGCCACCCTCCAGGCCCAGGAGGAGGCGCCGCAGCTGGAGAAGGTGCAGTGGACCAAGGATCCCGGGCTGCGCAAGCTCTACTTCTACGCTTTCATCCTATGCGTTGCTTCTGCAACCACGGGCTACGATGGGTAAGTAAGCTGCACGGCAGCCTGGTGCCGGGGGGAGCCCGTGATCCAGATGATGCTAACGTCGCCCGGCGGCCTGCAGCATGTTGTTCAATAGCATCCAGAACTTTGACACCTGGAAGAGCTTCTTTGGGAACCCTGAGGGACAGCAGCTCGGCCTCCTCGGCGCGCTCTACCAGATCGGCAGCCTGGCCTCCATCTTCTTTGTGTATGTCGGATGCCTGCGTCTTCCCTTACTGATCGGCACCCTCCAGGGGGTTGCCCTCCAGTCATGGCCCCCCTATTGACCGTGCTCGTACAGGCCCATGATCACGGACAACTTTGGACGCAAGATGCCTATTGCCATCGGCTGTGTTATCATGACCGTCGGGGCAATCCTTCAGGGGAGCTGCCAGAACATCGAGAGTACCTCGCCCCTTTTCTTTGGCTGCTCTTTCAAGATAGTGCTAGAGACACAGACACCTAACATGACATCTGTCAACCCGAAACAGCCTTCATGGGCGCTAGGTTCATGCTCGGATTCGGCAACAGTCTGACCCAGCTCGCATCTCCCATGCTCCTCACCGAGATCTGCCACCCCCAGCACCGCGGGCGTCTGACGACGGTCTACAACTGCCTCTGGAATGTGGGATCGTTTTGTAAGTCAGGCCTTGCTGTCTAGCCCCCCACTTCTGGTCTCCCTCTTGCTGACATGAGACTGTTTTTCTCGCGATGCAGGCGTCGCCTGGCTTTGCTTCGGCACAAACTACATCCCGACCGAGCTGTCGTGGCGCATCCCCTGCATCGGGCAGTGCGCCCCGTCCCTGATCCAGCTCGCCTTCGTCTACTGGGTGCCCGAGTCCCCGCGCTTCCTCATCGCAAAGGACCGGGCGGACGAGGCGCTCGACATGCTGGCGAGGTACCACGGCAACGGCGACGCGCAAAACCCGACGGTGCAGTTCGAGTTCCGCGAGATTAAAGAAACGCTGCGGCTGGAGCTCGAGAGCAGCAAGACCAGCAGCTATGGCGACTTTTTCAAAACGAGGGGAAACCGCTACCGGCTCGCGGTCCTGGTCTCGCTCGGCATCTTTTCGCAGTGGTCCGGCAGCGCCATCATCTCCAACTACCTCTCGGTCCTGTACGACAACGCGGGCGTGCGCGACTCGACCGTCAAGCTGGGCCTGGGCGGCGGACAGACGGTGCTGGCCTTCCTCGTGTCCACCACCATGGCGCTGCTGGTGGACCGGGTCGGGCGGCGGCCCATGTTCCTGGCGTCGACGGCGGGCATGTTCGTCACGTTTGTCTTCTGGACGCTCTCGGCCGGCCTGTACGAGGAGAGGTCGCTGGACGGGGCGCGGTACGCCATGATCCTGTTCATCTGGGTCTTTGGCATCATGTACAACCTCGCCTGGTCGGGCCTGCTGATCGGCTACGCCATAGAGGTGCTGCCGTACAAGCTGCGGGCCAAGGGCTTGATGATCATGAACGTCTTTGTCCAGGCGGCCCTGACGCTCAACATCTACGCCAACCCCATCGCCTTCAAGTACTTTGAGGGGCACACGTGGAAGCTGTATCTGATCTACACGGTGAGACTACAGGATTACCCCTAAATTTGTTCCTGGGCTTGGGAAGCACCATACTAACACATGCCGCTTTCAAAAACCGCAGTGCTGGGTTTTTGGCGAGATGGTGTTTGTGTACTTCATGTACGTCGAGACCAAGGGCCCGACGCTGGAGGAGCTCGCCAAGATCATCGACGGCGACCGGGCCGAGGTTGCGCGTGATATCGGAGCCGATGCGGCTGAGAAGGAGACTTGGGACGCCAAGGAGAAGGGCGAGCGAGCCTCCGACCGAGTCCCCTCGACGGGCCCCTAGCTCTCGTCTGGTTTGCAAGCTGCCAGCGCGTCCGTCTGTCGGGGGCTTAGCAGATGAGAGACGTGTCGACTCGAGGGCCAGTCCGAGCCGAGCTGCGGTTGGTGGTTGGCGGGCTTGGGCGCCCGGAGGACGGTTGCGTGGCCGACCCGACGCCAATGGGATGGATGTAGGAAGACGGTGATTCGGTTTCACTGCATGATAGGACGTACAGATTAATCGATAGTTTGTTCTCCAAGGGGCTTGGGATGACACTGTGATCTGGTTCTCCTCAACCCTGTATGGCCATTTCATCATGGGAAGTTGCTTAAAAATGCTAGCCCGGCCTAGGAGCAGCCGCGGAAAGACGGTGTTTCCCTCTCTCGGTGCCCGATGAAGCTAGGCTCTAAACCGAGGCCGCCTCTGAGTGGCCAAGGCAGTCGTTTGTTGGCAAAACGGCCATCTGCATTCGCAGTTTCAGGCCTGGGGGAGCTTCCAATTAGAAGCCCGTGCGACCACAGGAAGGGACAGTGCTGCTGCTTTTTCATGATTCTTGAGCGACACATTGGGAATTGGTCGAGGTCGGCCCGAAACGATCCCACGTCTGCCCTTGGCTTGGTGGTCATTGATCTCGTTTCTTGACCGACGCAATGCAGCTTTCTTGTGGTTGCTAATCAGGTCAGCGCAAATGCAGATGGGTGCTCTGCTGGCACACTCGTAACACGCGTGTGGTGTAGGCCGAATGGGTAGTAAATTGCGTGCTGTTGTGTGATGTCGTTTTTCGTGGCGGCGGCTCGATTTGCCGTGCGCCACAGCGATCAACCTGCGGGAATGGAAACTGCAAGTTTTGGGGAACAAACAAAGCGAGTTCGGCAGTTCCATCGTTCGATATCAGCAGGCACTCAAGGCAGAGTGCGGGGAGCCATGTCAACCCATCAGTGCATGCCAAATAAATACCCCAGGTTTGGCTTTGTGATATCGCTTGGGATATCGGTAGGGTTAAAGGAAAGCTTATTAGCGCTTAACGCAACGACAGTTTGGGGGGGGGGGGGGGGGGGGGGGCAGGACGCGATGCGATCAACAAGCCTCAATCCCACCCTCTACAAGTGCCCGAAGCTCAACGGCCCCGATTCACGCCGTTTGGGGTTCCTATGTGACATGCTGTAGCTCAATGCATACATGTGGCCGTGCACTAGACTGACCTTGCAGCATGTTTGTCATTCGGATTAGTTGGTCGCATATTCTCCTTATCCGTAGGCCTGGCAAGCGCTAGGGTCATGTCATGTTACTGGCTGCCCGTTTATAGCGTCTCCGGAGATATGCAGACGCCTCTTGTTGACCAGACAGACTGACTTGTGCCCTTCTCTTCTCCAATACAGCCGTAGTTGCTCCGCTCGGTTCCCGAGACGGATGCGAGCACAACACCGAGACCATCACCACAGTATGGAACTTATCAGGCCATCCAAGGAGGCGAGCTCCGATGGAAGCCGCACGGGGTGAACATGCGTACCTAGTGCCGTCGCCCTGTCTCGCTGACCCCCTGAGCCCTGCGTTGGCCATGCCACCATATAACAGCGGGATCCGTTGGAGACACGTGCTCCACGGAGGCTGCGTTGGCGATGATCCGGGAGTGTGTGTCTCTAGGCGTACCCGAGAAAAGGTGACGCCGGACATGGCATCCATCATGCCCACGCCCTCCTGTATCGCATGCAGCGTTTCGTCGCTCGGTTTCCGCACATCTTTAAGCCGGCTCAACCCGTTCACATCCATTGGCATCACAGGTCGCCTGCCTGGTCCGGGACGCGGGAGACGAGGCGGTGTGTCGAAACCTCATGTTGTGATAAGCAGTGATGGTGCTTTCATGCTCTGTCCGTCCCGCACGGAAGTGCATATCGATCCCGCCTGTGCGTCGGGCAGAAGCGCTGGGGGCAGTGAGCTACAGGTGCCACCTATGTGCCTACATGCTGCAACGGTCGCCAAACTGGGTCTGGCGTCAAACATTGGCTCCAGGCGCGCTAGAAACGGCAGCCCAGAACATGAGGCTTGCTGGGCTGCTTGGCCCAACTTGTTCGGCCGTAGTTGCACGATGGCGCCTGTCTAGCGCCAGCCCCCCAATACGAGGTTGAGGGAAGCAACCAGAGCTTCTCCGAGCATCACCCCGCCTCCCAACTGCTTCTGCTGCGGCCCTCAGACAGACGGCAGTGCTCGCAAGTCCATCAAGAGCAGCAGGCGCCGGTGAGGGATGTGGATTCGGTCCTTTCTATTGTTCGAATCGGCCCTTCATACGGTAGGTACCGTCAATACAACCTGGCTCTTGGGGATGCGGGGTGGGAGTACCAGCCCAATCCAGGTAAATGATTCCGGCTCGGCTTTCTATTGGAGAGCGGCTGCCACTCCCTGTAAGGCCTTTGCCCCCGTTCTTCGGTGCCTGACGAGGAGGATGGGGGAGAGGATAAAAAATGGAGCGTGAGCGAAACTAAGGGTCAAAACCTAGTTCATGGTGTGCAGGCGCGGGTGAGAGCCGAGAGACGGAGAATGTTGATGGGGGAGTGGGGTTTTGGACACCTCCAGCATAGCCCACCTCCGTTGCTGTGCTTCGACCGCCGTCCTGGCGATATAAGTCGTCCGTTTCCAACATGGCAAGACCCTGCACCTCGAGTCCGGACTTGTCGTTCGCTTTCCCCTGCCGTCCCTGTCCCTGACGCTGTCACCCATCATAAGCTAAAGGCGCCTGTCAGCGCGCCCAGAAAATCGGCAGGCGGCCTCTCTGCCTATATAGCGCACGAGATACTTTCTCTGGCTCAACATTTAGTCTAGCTCCCCCTATTGTCGCTAACCCTATGCGCCCAGTCCAGGGCCAGGGCGGAAGCAGAGCTGCGTGGACTCGACCTACTCGTCAAAGAAACGACTGCTGTCTTTTCTGAGATATCATTTATGACTAACAGCACGTAGAGCCTGGGACCAAAACAACAAGCGCAGTATCCAGCACCAACCGGCGGCAGATTGACTAGTCACTTGACAACCTGCCACTACAGAGGTAGGTAGCTACCCAACTATATAGGCGGGATGGTGCCCAAGATTTTCGCTCATCATTTTTGACATGACGACTCAACTCAACAAACAGTGGCCGGCGACAGGCAACGGCGGCTTCAGCCACCACCATCCCGTACCGTCAACGCCAAGTAGCACCAGATACGACCCCGCACCAGCATCGCTACGTACCTACGTACTTCGTAGATATTAAGGTCGCCCATCATAATCCAACCCAACGCTGCCTAATCAAGACAGAACCACGGCGAATCCCTAAGGTGTGTGTCCTTCTTTGATCTCTTTTCCCCCACAGTCAGGCTTTGATGCCAGGACCAGGACCAGCCCTAACTACCTGGTGGTGATCTAGCCTCTCTTGATGTACAACCTCAACCACCCTGCGCCGGCTCCCGAGACTGCTCGCGACACCACCTCCGGCCCCCGCACGCCCCGGCTCAAGATGCCGCACTTCAGCCACGAGGAACCGAGTTCCGCCGACAAGGAGGAGGCTGGCAAGCCCCTCGGCGGCGAGTGGGATACGTGCTCCTCATCCAGCAGCTGGGCCGAAATTACTCGTGCCGACACTGGGCAGCACAAGCCGCAGGTGCTGCAGCCAGCAGTCTCCAGCGCGACCGGTGATGGTCTCACAGCCCGGGCTCTCGAGAAACTACGGGTCGTACTGCCCGATCGGTCCAACAACGCCGGCCAGTGGGCACGAACGCAGTCTTTACACGGCGAGAGCCTCGGCGCGGAACGTCCACAAGAAGGCATTCCACCTGCCGGCGACCCAGAGCCCGAGGCTGCCGAGGCGGAGCGCCCCCGAGACCACCCCAAGGCGCCGTCGAGCAGTCGGCCGAGCACCAGCTCCAGCGAAGGGTTCGCCCACGTAGATCTTCCAAGCGAAGTCGAGAGGGACCTCATAGGCACTGGCGCCAGATTCGACGTTCCGACCCCTTACCTCGCAACCATGACTTTACTTGAAGTCGATGAGCCTGACGCCCCGGCAAAGAAGGGCTCGGGATCCAGGGCGAGCAAGGGTCGTAAATAGTGGCCTTGACAAAAAACAGAAGGAGAGTTGGGGGCTGCCCTACCCTTGCTTGGCCTCATCAGCCTCGGTGGGATCCACAACCACTGTTCCACAACTCCTCACGACTGAACGACTATATTGACCTTGCAAGGCGAAATACCCTTCGTCCAGCCAATCCCTGACTTGATGGCTCACTTGATTTGTTCTTCTCCTTGTTGGCTTTCTGTCTGTCTTTCATGCGGCGTCGAGGTTCGAAATTGGGATCGAGATGGAGTGAAAAAGCAGGTGTTGGGCCAGAAGGACCAAAAAGGGAGACAAAAGGTATACCCCATTGCTTCGGAGCGTCTTGATAGACCAAGGGAAGGCCTTCTCCTTTATGGTTAGCATTCTCCATGTTTTCTTCCCTTCTTTGCAACACGCCTAGACATGGCATTATCTTACTCGGCGTTTGGTTTCTTGCTTCCTTTTTCTCATTTTGATTGGCTGGACTCGGGTCATCTCTTTGTTCTGCTTTCACGTCATGGCGTTTGATTGGATCGTCTTGGATGAAAACACACAAAAAAAAACGAAGTCATGCAGAATTTGCATGGCCTCAGAATATCGTGCTCGTCTTACCATCCAAGTGCATCAATGCCCATGTTTCGGCAACTGTGGCTTGCAGTCCAATGACCAGTCTGGGCAGGAACCGCCTGGAGCCACCTGCTGGAGCCACCTCAACTGTGAGCCCAACCTGCATCATAGTGGGGTTCTGGGGAAAGCACCTGCCCACCTCCGCATTCTCCACGATGAATCCCAACTCAGACGTGGATATGCATCTCTTCCCCACCCGGTATACGCCCTGAAAAATGAGGGCGCTGGCAACCGGCCTTTAGGCTGAATGCCAGAGGAGACAGCCGAAGCTCCACCGGCTCGTTGCAGGGCTCCAGCTGATGGAAAATCTTGAGCCGACATGCGCCGCGCGAACCGGACGACGAGGGTGGCCGGCCTCGTCCCGCTGCGACAAGATGACCCCAAAGCGACCCCAACAAATGTTCCGAGCGGCCGGAGCCCCGCTCGCTGCCTTGGTCGTCCTTGATGAGATGCCGTCTCTGGCGAGTCGCCCCGCCGTTCCTGCGTCGAAATAACCCTGGATAATCATCATGTGTCCTGCAATCTGGGGGCTGGGCGACGTCGTGCGCCTCGGGTGCCTTTCCAGGCTCGACAGTCTGCCAGTATAAGATGGGATGGACCAGCACAGAGACTCCCGGTGTGGGCTCAACGTGGCTCAAAAGAGCTCCCGCATCCCTAAGGGCCGGAAACGTTCAGGCACCAACAGCAGCCCGGCTGACCATCAGCAATGGCGACACCACTGCTGCTGTGGCGGCACTCGACCATGGCACTCGCCCTCGTTCTCGCCTTTCTGTCTTTTGCCTCAACGGCCAAGTGCAACTCTAATGGCAGATGGGTGGATATATGGGGATCCATGCCCCAGCTCACCGAGCCGGCGAACCTGCCTCCGGCCCCTTATGTGAGTTGAGATGTGGGGAAGCGAGCAAGAGGGCGACGAGGGCCACACTTTGTGTCTGTATCCTCTTGCGGCTTAAACTGACAAGCCTCGGCGGCCTGCCCCCAAGAACCAAACGGGTGTTGTGTTCCAAAACGCCACCATCCGACAGACCATCAGGGTGACCCTCGCCGCTCCCGTCTTCCGCCTGCAGATCAGCAACGCGTTTGGCGGCTCCGACCTGCCCATCACCGCCGTGGCCGTGTCCCTGCCCGCCGGAAACGCCGCGGGTGTGGGGGCCATCGACCCGGCCGCGGGCGTGCACAAGGTGACCTTTTCGGGCGGTCTGTCTTCTTTCACGGTCCCCGTCGGCGCCCGAGTCGTCAGCGACCCCATCAAGGACCTGCCCCTGCCCGCCCTCTCGGTCCTGACTGTCGACATCTACCTCGCCACGGGCCAGACTACCAACAGCGTCACGTCGCACCCGGGCTCCAGGACCACGTCCTGGCTCGCCCCGGGCAACACCGTCGGCGCTGCGAACTTCTCCGGCCCCGGTGTTGATAAGACAGACCACTGGTATCTCCTCTCGCGTGTCGAGGGTTTTATCGGCTCTTCGTCCGCGTCGTCGTCGTCGTCGTCGTCTTCATCGTCTTCGGCACTCGTCATCGTCGGGGATAGTATCACCGATGGTCGCGGGTCGACCACCAACGGCAACAATCGCTGGCCCGACGTACTCGCTGACCGCCTCGTTGCGGCCGGGGCTGGAGTATCCGTTATTAACCAAGCGGCGGGCGGCAACAGAATCCTTCGTGATGGCCTGGGCCCCAATGCGCTGAGCCGCCTGGATCGTGATGTTCTGGCAGGCTCGTCGGTGCGATATGCTCTCGTGTTCGAAGGCGTCAACGACATCGGGACCACGGGGCTAAGGGAGGCAGAGCAGCTCGAGACGCAGAACCGGATCGTGTCTGCCTACGAGCAGATGGTCACGCGCCTCCACGCCCACGGCATCGCCGCCTTTGGAGCGACCATCACCCCCATGAGCGGCCCCGGCCAGGCTTATGGTGAGCCGAGCCGAGAGAAGGCCAGGTTGGCCGTGAACGAGTGGATCCGGACCTCCGGGCGGTTTGACGCCGTCATCGACTTTGACAAGCTGGTGAGGGACCCGGCCAACAACACCCGCCTGGCTCCACAGTATGATGTCGGGGACTATCTTCACCTCAGTCCCGCTGGCTACAAGGCCATGGGTGAGAGTATCGACCTGGAGCTGTTCAGTCGGTTTCGTGATGGGGTTTGGAAGATGCTGTAAGAAGAAAGAGAGGCCCCAACATGCTGAGGGATGACTATAGCACCATAATCGAGCTTTACACCAAAGCTATGACAGTGAAGAAACGAACATGAAGGGGAGAGGGAGTGGGAGGGAGGTAGGGGGGGGGGGGGCGGGGGGTCGGGGGGTAC